GGGGTGCTCCTATGTTGGGAACATAAATATTTACAATTTTTATATCTTCTTCTTGGATTGATCCCTTGATCGTTATGGAGTGTCCTTCTTTGTCTCTTCTAATAGTCTTTATTTTAACGTCTACTTGTCTGATATGAGGATTGCTACTGCAGCTTTCTTTTAATTTTCTTTTGCATGTAATATCTTTTTCCATCCCCTCACTTTCAGTCTGTATGTGTCCCTAGGTCTGAACTGGGTCTCTTGTAGTCAGCATATGTATGGGTCTTGTTTTATATCCATTAAGCCAGTCTGTGTCTTTTATTTGGAGCATTTAATCCATTTATATTTAAGGTAATTATCTATAGGTATGTTCCTATTATCATTTTCTTAATTGTTTTGGGTTTGTTATTGTAGGTCTTTTCCTTCTCTTGTGTTTCCTGCCTAGAGAAGTTCCTTTAGCATTTGTTGTAAAGCTGGTTTGCTGGTGCTGAATTGTCTTAGCTTTTGCTTGTCTGTAAAGGTTTTAGTTTCTCTGTCGAATGTGAGTGAGATCCTTGCTGGGGGGTTTTTCCCTTTCATCACTCTAAATATGTCCTGCCACTCCCTTCTGGCTTGCAGAGTTTCTGCTGGAAGATCAGCTATTAACCTTATGGGGATTCCCCTGTATGTTATTTTTTGCTTTTCCCTTGCTGCTTTTAATATTTTTTCTGTGTATTTAATTTTTGATAGTTTGATTAATATGTGTCTTGGTGTGTTTCCCCTTGGATTTATCCTGTATGGGACTCTGTGCTTCCCGGACTTGACTGAGTATTTCCTTTCCCATATTAGGGAAGTTTTCAACTATAATCTCTTCAAATATTTTCTCAGTCCCTTTCTTTTTCTCTTCTTCTAGAACCCTTATAATTCGAATGTTGGTGCATTTAATGTTGTCCCAGAGGTCTCTGAGACTGTCCTCAATTCTTTTCATTCTTTTTTCTTTATTCTGCTCTGCAGTCATTATTTCCACTATTTTATCTTCCAGGTCACTTATCCGTTCTTCTGCCTCAGTTATTCTGCTATTGATTCCTTCTAGAGAATTTTTAAAATTTCATTTATTGTGTTGTTCATCATTGTTTGTTTGCTCTTTAGTTCTTCTAGTCCTTTTTAAATGTTTCTTGTATTTTCTCCATTCTATTTGCAAGATTTTGGATCATCTTTACTATCATTATTCTGAATTCTTTTTCAGGTAGACTGCTTATTTCCTCTTCATTTGTTAGGTCTGGTGCATTTTTATCTTGCTCCTTCATCTGCTGTGTGTTTTTCTGTCTTCTCATTTTGCTTAACTTACTGTATTTGGGGTCTCCTTTTTGCAGGCTGCAGGTTTGTAGTTCCTGGGTTTTTTTGGTGTCTGCCCCCAGTAGCTAATGTTGGTTCAGTGGCTTATGTAGGCTTCCTGGTGGAGGGGACTGGTGCCTGTGTTCTGGTGGATGAGACTGGATCTTGTCTTTCTGGTGGGCAGGTCCACGTCTGGTGGTGTGTTTTGGGGTGTCTGTGTCCTTATTATGATTTTCAGCAGCCTCTCTGGTAATGGGTGGGGTTGTGTTCCTGTCTTGCTATTTGTTTGGCATAGGGTGTCCAGCACTGTAGCTTCCTGGTCATTGAGTGGAGCTGGGTCTTGATGTTCTGTTGGAGATCTCTGTGAGATTTTCACCATTTGATATTATGTGGAGCTGGAAGGACTCTGGTGGACCAATGTCCTGAAGTTGCGTCTCCCACCTCAGCGGCACAGCCCTGATGCCTAGGTGGAGCACCATCAACCTGTCGTCCACACAGCTCAGAATAAAAGAGAGAAAAAAGGAAAGATAGAAAGAAAGAAAAAGATAAAATAAAATAAAATGAAATAAAATAAAATAGTTATTAAAATAAAAAATAAAGAATAATTATTAAAAAAAGTTTATAAAGTAATAAAAAGAAAGAAAGAAAGAAGAGAGCAACCAAAGCAAAAAACAAATCCACCAATGATAAGAAGCGCTAAAAAGTATATTAAAAAACAAGAAAAATCAGAACAACAACAACAAAAAAACCAGACAGAACGCTAGGGCAAATGGTAAAAGCAAAGCTATACAGACAAAATCACACAGGGATACACATACATACTCAGAAGAAGAGAAAAAGGGAAAAAAAGTTTATATATCATTGCTCCCAAAGTCTACCTCTTCAATTTTGGATGATTCGTTGTCTATTCAGGTATTCCATAGATGCAGGGTACATCAAGTTGATTGTGGAGATTTAATCTGCTGCTCCTGAGGCTGCTGGGAGAGATTTCCCTTTCTCTTCTTTGTTCACACAGCTCCTGTGGTTCAGCTTTTAATTTGGCCCCGCCTCTATGTGTAGGTCGCCTAAGGGCGTCTGTTCTTCCCTCAGACAGGACGGGGTTAAAGTAGCAGCTGATTCAGGGGCTCTGGCTCACTCAGGCCAGGCAGAGGGAGGGGTACAGATGTGGGGCATGCCTGCGGCAGCAGAGGCTGTCATGACATTGCACCAGCCTGAGGCGTGCTACCTGTTCTCCCGGGGAAGTTGTCCTTGGATCACTGGACCGTGGCGGTTGTGGGCTCCACAGGCTCCCGAGAGGGGAGGTGTGCATAGTGAACTCTGCTTGCACACAGGCTTCTTGGTGGTGGCAGCAGCAGCCTTAGCGTCTCATGCCCGTCTCTGGGGTCCACACTGGTAGCCGCGGCTTGCACCCGTCTCTGGAGCTCCTTTAGGTGGCGCTCTTAATCCCCTCTCCTTGCGCACCAGGAAACAAAGAGGCAAGAAAGTCTCTTGCCTTTTCGGCAGGTCCAGACCTTTTCCTGGACACACTCCCAGCTAACTGTAGTACACTAGTCCCCTCAGGCTGTTTTCATGCAGCCAACTCCAGTCCTCTCCCTGGGATCTGGCCTCTGAAACCTGAGCCTCAGATCCCAGCCCCCGCCCACCCCAGCAGGTGAGCAGATAAACCTCTAGGGCTGGTGAGTGTTGGTCGGCAACAATCCTCTGTGCGGGAATCTCTCCGCTTTGCCCTCCGCACCCCTGTTGCAGCGTTCTCTTCCATGGCTCTGAAGCTTCCCCCACCTCACCACCCGCAGTCTCCTCCTGCGAGTGGGCTTCCTAGTTTGTGGAAACCTTTCCTCCTTCACAGCTCCCTCCCACTGGTGCAGGTCCCATCCCTATTTTGTCTCTGTTTTTTCTTTTTTCTTTTGCCCTACCCAGGTACGTGAAGAGTTTCTTGCCTTTTGGGAGGTGTGAGGTCTTCTGCCAGCGTTCAGTAGGTGTTCTGTAGGAGTTGTTCCACATGCAGATGTATTTGTGATGTATTTGTGGGGAGGAAGGTGATCTCCATGACTTCCTCTTCAGCCATCTTGATGCTCTTCTGATTAAATAATTTTTAAGGTGCTTAGTTATGGTTCTTCTAGTTGTGAGTCTGAACTCAGGTTTGTTAGTAATCTAGCCATAGCATGAAGTGCATCTCTTAGGTAAAGCTTTTAACTGACCTATAATGAGGCATACAGTCCAGTGAACACTACGGTTACTTGATAAAGATCCATAATTGAGGATGATGATAAATTTTAACAGTATGAGTATCATAGAGTTCTTAAGTGTCCTAGAAATATTGCTAAAAATAAGATTTGTAAATTAATGAGATAAGGAATCTTAAAAAGAGAACCCCATTTACAACTTCCTAAGCATAACTTTTCATATATACCATTTTTGTTTTCTAACACGTGTGATATTGAGATTTCAAAAAAAGTCAATGGAGAGAAATGAGTGTGATTTTGCCAACAATTGAAGACATGAGCTTAGGTCAATGCACAAAAATCTCACCTAAAAGTAACTACCCAAAATGGTATTTCTCCTTTGTTTTAAAAATTTCCTGTAGTTTTATTTATTGTGCATAGTAGCTCAATTTATCCCTTCCACTGAAATTATCTTAGATTTGTATCACTTCAAATCTGTGATTTTTTTTCAAAGTTTGTATTATGAACCCATTCTTTCCTGACTCTCTCTTTTTTCCCATTGATTCTTTTTTTTTTTCTTGTTGTGATCTAGGCAAATTGTCTCCAATAAGACAAATGTTTATAAGATAAAGAAGATGCTGCTTGATGAGTTTCATGAATATGTTATAATTTCCCTGAATTTTCCCTGACTTGTATTAGTCAATATCTTAAAATAATAATGGAATCTAATTTGAAAGATACATAACCATAACGTGTTTGAGGATACCAATTTATTCTTTTAAGAGTTTGTTGAAAGGCTCACTTAAGAATTTCAGAAGAGCCCAGGGCAGGTGGCTTATTATTTATATCAACCTTCAGATATAGATTTTTCTGAAAAATGGTATTTTTCCACAATAATATAAAATATTGTTGAGTGTGAGGAATAGAACTTTCTTCAATAAAGATTCTAAATATGTTTATTCAGAATGAGATCTTTCCCTGTTAATGTGTCACCCCATGAGGTACATTTCTCATAATACTGACAACTTATAGAAAATATTAGGCCTTAGGAAATGAATTACAGAGTAGTTTCTTCTGAAGAGATCAATTTTTGAGATGGGTAAAAAGCAAGACTATTATGTTAAATAGTGATATAAACTATAATATTTAATAAATGAGACTATCCCAACTATCTGAAAGCTTTCTATGTATAGTTACCAACCTGTCTTTCAAATGGAAAATATTTGTGTTATTATTATGAATATTGTATTCCCTTTGTCTATAATTTGGAATGGTATGTTTATTCAGTCTTAGCTTGATTAACTTTTGCCTTATTTTTTCCAAGTTTGTACTGTATTTTTAAGCTTATAATGTGATTGTTTCTTAAAAATAATTTTATAGAGGAATGGGTTTTTTAAAAAACATAATGTTCAATAAAGCAAGTATGAGTGAAATAAATTATTTACTTTCAGTTTGGAAGAGGTGAATAAAAAGTGCTTGGCCAATATCGTACCATTAATCTATTCTCTTTTCTCCTCTCTCTCTTTACTTCTCTCTCTCCAATAGAAGTGGAACAAAAAGGTAATTAAATACCTTTCATAAATTATATACTATTTATAGGCTAAGTTATTTAACAGTTTAACATCTAGTTAAAATAATTTTGTTATTAATTCTTATCTATTTTATGAAAATTTATTTACTACTTCTGCTGCTCAACTTCACTTTAGTCTGTTGTACTGACCAGTGCTGGTTTGATTTTTTTAATCCTAAAACAGTTTAATAGTGTAAAATTTTCAACCGTGCATTCTATTCCTCTTTATTTAAGCAGTTAGAAAAATGGTAGATGGTTTTGGATAGTAACTGCTTTAGATTTGTTTTTATTTCTATACTAGATAATTTTCCATAGCTCTGGTGTGGTTCCCCTGTTCCTTTAATTTTTAACTATTAGGGGAAAAGGGGAGATGATTTTCTAAAATACGTTAAAATAAATTGCTTTAGTAACAAAGGGCTGATTATTAATTAGCATAAAGTTTATATACAATTTTGACAATAATACCTACCCATCATTTATAATTATAGACATCATATTAGAATCCTGAGAAATTCTTCTAATAATCAATTTTATTATCGAGTATAATTTGATGGTGGCCCTCTATCCTTGCTATGGAAGATTTTGATAGTTAACTTTTCCCCTAAACTTTTCATTTTTCCAAAATTAAAACTTTGAGCATTTTAATAATGTACTTTCCTTTTTAATAATCTGTAAACCCTACCTGAGTTTCACCTTAGATTATTTTCCATTGGATGTAGGTTTATAGTTGTTGTTAAAGAGCTAATCACTAATACCAAGAGAATAATACTTTAATCATTAAAATATGGGTCAACATCCAAATTTCTTGTGATTTCCTAATTTCTCCTCCCAATACACTTCTAATCATTTCAAACATAACAGTGGACTGCATGATTATTTTTCAATGTGTTTTCTCTGCAAAAATATTGGAGCACTGTTTCCCATAGCAGGTTCAGAAGCACATTACACCCCATCAGGCTCTGTAGAAAGGGTTCCGTGATCAAATTAGTTTGTGAAATTTGCTCACCCTCCCCACTTCCATCTTGGAGATTCACTAATGTACCTCAGCTATTAGAATCCTGGTATTATGTTTCATATGATATTTCTTAAACACAGATGGCTAGGGATCCCTGTTTTTTTTCTGTGTAATATGTGGCTAAACCACTTAAAACAGGTCCTTCAATGACCTCCCGTTGGGAAACATTGCTTTTTAGCCCCTTCATTACAGATGAATTGGCCAAGTTTTTTTTTTTTTTTTTTTTTTTTTTTTCCCCCCCATGATGTGCTACTGAATCATACTAAAAATAAACTGAATCAGATAATTCCTGCCCATTTTCAGTCTGAAGTATGAGCAGCAAAATATTGTAGCAAGTAATCTTGTTTTTTAATGTTCTTCTCATGTAACAGTAAAAGGTACATGTTTTTAAGTTCCAATACTACTGTATTTAACAGGACATTTTTAACTGATTAAAATCTAGATCTTGGGTTCTCCTCTGTAACCTTTCACCTTTTCTTCTTTCCTTATTCCTTCTTTCCTTTCTTTTTCTTCCTTTCTCTTTATCCTTCCAGTATCCATCCATCACTCATTTTTAATTGTGTGGGTTGCATGCTCTGTGTGTGCTATAGCAGCTTTAAGAGCTTTTTACCTAGAAGGCTCAGTGGCCTGTATTACAGGGCTTTTCTTTTCCCTTATTATTATATTTTAATTACTATTGTATTTTCATATGCTTCTTAATAAGTATAGAATAGTTAAGAGCATCAGAATGAAAACAATATCTTTAAAAATTCCAAATAAGATATATAAAACCATCACATATAAAAATTTATATTTGTTATATGTCTATAGAATACATAGACATAAGTCACAATTATATATATAGCATATCCAAAATTATTGTAACACACTTGCAAAGGTAAAGAGCAAAGGAAAGCACAGCCACTCTTTAAAAGGCCAAAGTTTTTCAGCAAATGAAATCAAAATGATTATGAACAAATGTCAAAATTAATGTGGACGACCACTTTATGTTCTCAGAAGAATACAGCAAAATAATTAAGTGGTGGTGGGTATTTCTTGTTAGAGTTGAATTCCATTTGGTGAAAAATAAGAATATATGACAAAATATTAAAATTAATACATTTATTATTTTGACTCTTTCC